GCTGCTAGTTTCGGCCGCCACTACTATCAGTAGTCACCTCCACCTTCTCTTCCACTACAACAACATCATCTACTGCCTCCAAAACCACCATCCACCATCGTTCATCGCCACCTCTACCATAATCGACCACCGACCATCACGGTCCGTTGCCACCACCACTATTGTTGTTCGCAACTCCAACTCCTACTCTACTACAATAACCTCCTTCACCACCTCTACAACCACCGAATACCACCATCCATTGCCTCCTTTACAACCACCATCGGCCACCGAGGCACCGACCACCACCACCACTACTACCACTGTTGGCCACATCCAACTCCACATATACTGCAACAACCTCCTCCATGACCTCCACAGCCACCTTTGACCACCGACTACCACTATCCATTGCCACCTCTACAAACCACCATCAACCACCGATCACCACCACCGTTTGCCACACTCCTTCTCTACTGCAACAACCTCCTCTACGACTTCCACAACCACCATCGACCACTACCGTCTATTGCCACCTCACCTCCACCATAACCACCACCACCATTATCCCCACTACATCAACAACAACTACCTCTTTCACCGTTGTCAACCGCCACCACCACCATAATCCACCATCTTCACGTCCTCTATAACCACCATCGGCTACCACCACCTCCACCATAACCAAACCTACCTCCACCGTCACCACTATCTTCACCACTACTACTACTACCATCAATTATATCAATTTTTTATTCAAATTTGATACCATTATATCTATATGTATTCATTTATATGAAAAATGTGTAAAAATATTTATAATTCAAATTCTTTAATTATTATTATATTTGTGTTAATTATAATTATTATATAACATTTGAAATCATCAAATAACGTTTGGGCACGTAACTTGTCTAGTTCTGTTATGTTCAGTCCTAATCGTATCAAACATCAAACATACACTTGTTCTGTCCAGTCCTATTTAGTCATGCCCTCTTGTCTTGTCTATTTTTGTCTAGTTTAGTTTTGTCCAGTCATGTATGTCTACCAAACTCTACCTAACTTTCTTCAGATTCATCACATGTTGGATCAAAAAACATGAAACCGTCCCTTATGCAGCCATTTGGTTTGATGGAATAGTTTCGAGATATTTAGATTTCATGGAAGGATTTAAAATTGGAAGCATTTGCTTTATAGAATTGGAATGAAATTGAATTTCATTATTTATAATAATTTATAAAAATATTTAAGAGTGAATTATGGATTTGGTCCATGTGGTATGCTGAAAATTATGACCAACGTCCCTCAACTTGATTAATTATGGATTTGGTTCATGTGGTTGTTGTTTTTTCATGCCTATGGTCCCCCCTCACTAACAAAATCGTTAATCCAGTTAACTCAAAAAGAGAAAGACCAAATACCTTTTTGTCATTTTTTTTAAAGTATGTAAGACATAATAAATATAATTATTGTTTTAATTTTTTCATGTGAAAAGAACCCCGTGATTGAAACCACCTCCAACACCCACTGAAGAACACACATACAAAAAACAATACGAAAATTCTAAATCAAACAAAAATCCAAACACAATATATTCATGAAAAAAATAAACTTATATCACAACAGAAGCAAACTTAAGAGTTTTAGTCATTATACAAATCTTTGTAGAAAAATCATGTTCAAACAAAAATCTAAACCCAACTAAGCAAAGCCCTAAGTTGAAACCTCTATAGATTCACACCACAACATAAACCCTAACCTAATGAAATCAAAACTGAATTAACCCATCAAGACAAAAGCTCGAGAGAAGGGGTGGTGTAGATGCTTCAGTGGAACATCCCCCATTTGGGTTTTTGTTTTTGATGCTTTGTTGTTCATTTGTGGTGTTTAATAATGCTTTAATGTTGATGCTTCGGTGCAATGATATGGAGTTCTGTTTTCTATGCTTCAGCAACGATGATTTTGGTGGTAAGATCTCATGGAGCAGGGAAGGGTGTAATAGGGAAAGGGGATGAGATTAGTGCAATGATGGTTTAGGGAAAAGGTTGGGGTTGTGGAGGTGGTCATCGGTGAGGGAGAGAAGATAAAAGTCGGTGGTCGCCGGTGAGGGAAAGAGAGAGGATAAAAATAAGAGGTGGTCTACGGTGGGAGAATGGAGAAAAAAGGTTGTGGTCGCCGTTGAGAGAGAGAGAGAGAGAGAGAGAGAGAGAGAGAGAGAGAGGAGAAGGAAACTGTGAAATATATATCTATACTATATTATAAAACATTTGATAAGAACTCTTCAAAACTATTTTTTATGCATGAAGTACTGTATATTGATGCATATTACTTAAAATTCAAGATTACAAGTAAATTATGCATAAGTACAACTTATTAAAGCTCAATGTTTGAATTCGTGTAACTAACAGTGGATAAACATAATCAAATAGAGAATAAATATCGCATTTTAAAATATAAAAAATTTAAAATATAATTATGATCATTATCGATTTCTAACTGAATCATTATCTTTATAAAAAAATTATTGTTAAGCCAAAAATAAATTACTTCATTATTTAACATAAATTAAATTACAATAAAAAATAAAATAAATTAATTATATAAAAAACAAGAACTTTTAAATAGTTAATTTGATATTAATATCAATATATTTAAAAAAAATTATGATGTCTTCAAATTTATTTTTATTCAAAAGTAAAAAACATTATCTTTCTCAAAACTACATAAACCGTATTATATCAATAAAGACATACAAAAAAATATTAAAATAAATATGTATCTCGCTGCATTGTGCAAATACCTTATCTATATATATATATATGCGTGTGTAAAATAGGGTGAGACACCCTTTTTGATCCTCATGAATTTAGAAAAAGACATAAATAAAGACAAAAAAAAGAAAAAAAAAGAAAAAAGATGAAGACAACTTTCAAAATTAAAATGTGGAAAAGATAAAGTACCATTTTATCCTTAAGTTAACAAGATTAATGGACTACATTTGGTTCACCGACCTTAGTCATAAGAAAATAACAACCACATGACTATAATCATAATTTTTAGAGTTTAAGGAACATGCTACAGGGATTAAATCCGTAATTCATTCAATAATTAATTAATTAATTATTACAAAACAAATATTTTAACATATTTTAAAGCATTATTATAAAAAAATATATGAAATCTCATGAAATACCAACCATCCCTTAAGATTTCAGTTTGTAGGATTTTAATGAAATCCCGATATTTCAAATCCAAAAATTCTTTTAAACCAAATATCTATACTATATTATAAAACACTTGACAAAAACTCTTAAAAATTATTTTTTATGTATGAAGTACTGTATATTGATGCATATTACTTAAAATTCAAGATTACAAATAAATTATGCATAAGTACAACTTATTAAAGCTTCATGTTTGAATTCGCTTAACTAACTGCGGATAAACATAATCAAATAGAGAATAAACATCTCATTTTAAAATCTAAAAAATCTAAAATATAATGAGGATAATTATCGAATTCTAACAAAATAATTAACTATTATCTTTATAAGAAAATTATATTACTAAACCAAATATAAATTACTTCGTTATTGAACTTAATTAAACTATAATTAAAAAATTTGAATTAAAAAATTACACAAAAAATAAGGAATTTTAAATTGTTAATTTGATACTAATATCGATATATTTTTGTCAAAATTTTATGATATCTTCAAATTTATATCTTCTTAAAAATAAAAACATCATCGTTTTTTCAAAATCATATAAGACCATATTATAACATCGACTGAGATAAAAAATAAAATAAAATATTAAAAATCAAGATTTTCGCTGCATTGCGCGAGTATCATTATAGTTATATATATGTATATATTTATTATTATATTATATATATATATATACATATATATATATATATATATTAGTATTAAAGTCTTATTGTAATTATTTTAAAAACTTAAAATAGTTT